AGGAACGTCGAATCTGAATCACTTGAAAAAAACACGGGGGTGCTTAACTTTTTTCCAGGTGTATATATATAATTATGTTTTCTGAAGTTTCATAAGTGTATTTATTTGCTAAAACGTTGTCTGACGTTATATAAATGGATAAAAAACACGCATTTTTTTCGAACTGTGCAGGCGGTACTGCATCAAATTACACTATAGTTTGTTTCAAAAATTTTGCGCAAAGCTACACAAAAAGTAAAATAGTTGTAGCTGTCGTTAATTTGGAGCTGATGAATTAGAAGTAAAGCAGCTTGTCAAAAGCACACCCTGTGACAATTCTTGGACTGGTATTGTCTGACCAAATGGTAGGATTTGACCGTCACTTTTACACACCACTCACAGCTCCAAAGTGCGAAAAGCGTTTTTGCGGCAGCGAGCCGCGAATAATTCAGCCCAAATCGACACACAAAATCAAAAATGCAAAATAATCTTCATAAAGGTTCCTATACTTTATCAGGTTATCCCAGAAAATTATACATATATACACGTATTAAAGTTTAAACTAAATTTATTTACCAAACTACTACAATTACAGCAATTATTTCTTAAGCTAATTTTTAATAATTAACAAGGGCATCACATACGATTATAAAAACATAAAAGTTGTCTTTAAAATTTTTATGAACTTGCAATATAGTAGTAAGAAAAACACACTATCGTCTTATAAAATTGTAATAACTCAAACTTCTTTAATGAAAATACAAGTGTTAAAATTGAAAAAAAAAGTATATTTTACCGCAAAAGACAGATCACTAACTACTGGTAATTTTCTGGCAGAGATAGGTAAATTTTTTTCTTTAAATTCGCTCTGCTCACCATGGATGACCACTAAAATAACCATTCGTTCTCTTGTTTGAAGTTTGCGTTTTAGAAATCTAGATAAACTTTTTTAATGTCTGAAATAAAACATATAAGCGGCACCTTCACTCTCTGTTTGGACAAACATTCATTCTTTACTTATTATCTCTCAAAAGTCAATGCGTCGACTTACCTCCTTCTTGAATTTCCTTTTCGTAGATCCCTTTTTCTTTGGCGACCTGCGCAGTGAAGATTTAAAGGATCCCTGTAAAGATGAGACAGAAATTTAAAGGAAATCTGGATGAGAGACGACAAGAACAGGAACTAAAGAAAATTAAATTCTATCATGACAGCTGAAGACGACAGGTGACTATGATTATATATGTACATTTGGGTGCACGTTTTGAATTAGATGTGGTGAGAATTTTAGATTGATCTTAGAATTATCATACGTATCCGCATGTATTAAGTTATTTATAGTGAAATTAAAGAAATATTTGTAAAATAGGTTATTAAGTACTACAGTACTAAAGACAGTTTTATATATATTTTAATGCACAGAATAATAGATTTTTTGATTTAATACACATTTATCACATAACAAGTTTGACTGCAACAAAGAAATAAAAAAAATCAATATAGGAATTATATTTGTGGTTTAAAAGGAATCTTATTTTCATATATAAATTGAGTTTAACTTTTAAAATGTAAACTAAAAAGTCTTTAGATCAAACACCTAAAACTCTTTGACTAAATAGTGCAAATCATATACACATAGGTATATATTTCACTTTCGAAAAGTCATTTTATATTCGATAATAAAGTGTACATTAAAAACGAGGTTCTTGTGTATCATAATAGGCAGTGAAATAGAATGGGTCCTATTGATCTTAGGAAAAAAGATTAAATCTAAAATATTAGAGAAATGTTTTAATATAAATGATTACTTGTTTAAAAATACCCCAAAAACATATTTCAAGTATTAAAACTGCGATATTACGTAAAATGACATTTAAATTCCAAGAAAGTTGCAATTTTCAGAAAGTATTAATAATTTGCTAGCAAACCAATTCAAATGAGTAATTGTATAGTATTTGTATTTGCAATCTCAACGGTACCTAATGTGATATATAGGCTAAACATCCAGGGCAGACATAGACAAGGGTAATTGTGAGCTGCTGATCATTCAGCATCATCCGCCGTCTACACAGCTATTTCTATGGAAATAGCGGGACTTATTGTCACTTTTATAACACACACACACAACATAAAATGCAGTGTTTAGTGTCATATGATGAGTGTGAACTTAGACTTTCCGATCTGTGGCTCTGCATGCTAATCACTAAAAAACTGCGAATCATAAAAAAATAAAGGATTGAAAATAACATTGACATTGACCTTGCAAGCCCTGAAATTAAATGTCTATTTATTTCCGTAGATTCCAAAGCATATGGACTCATTCCAGTATTATATACAGTTTGTATAAAATTAGCTAACATGAAAAGCAATAGTGACCTCGAAACTTGCAGCCACGTAAAGTTGAATCAGTTCATCGTGTGACACTGATTCGTTGAAAAGACTGGTAAACCATATTGGTAATCTTCATCTCTATATATTTCAAATCGATATAACCATTTCTTGCATGTTGAATAAATGCAAATCTAATACTTATAAAACGCCTAGTTTATACAAAATCACTGCAGCGTCGACGTATCGTTGTCAAATAACATGTAAAAAAAGAGAATGGCACCTTTGATATAAACACAGTCAAATCTTAGTCTGAGGATGCTCAGGACATTTTTTACAATATCCTTACTTATTCTTAAACTTTTTAAATGAATTTAATTCGCAATAAACAATTAACAGATACACATTGGTCACAGACAAACAATAACCAATACTAATTTAGTTTAACACGTTCACAAATAGACACACGTTGGTCATAAGCTAACAATTAATCATCATTAAGCTAGTTTAATATGTCCATTAACGAACACATATTTGTTACAGCCCAACAATAACTAGCAATAATCTAGTTTAATATGTCCATTAACGGAAACATATTGGTTACTTGTTTGTTTGTTTGTTTGTTTTTTAATTATGCACAAAGCTACACAAGGGCTATCTGTGCTCTGCCCACCACGGGTATCGAAACCCGGTTTCTAGCGTTGTAAGTCCGCAGACATACCGCTGTGCCACTGGGGGGCCATATTGGTTACAGGCCAACAATAACTAACAATAATATATTTTAACACGTCCATTAGCAGACGCACATTGGTCATAGACAAACAATAACCAATATTAATTTAGTTTAACACGTCCACTAATAAACCCACATTGGTCACAAGCCAACAATTAATCATCAATAATCTAGTTTAACATGTCCATTAACAGACACACATTGGCCACAGACCAACAATAACCATTTCTAATCTATTTTAATACGTCCGTTAACGGACACAGATTGGTCATGATCCAACAATAACCATCACTAATCTAGGTTTAACACGCCCATTAACAAGACACGCATATTTGTCACATATCGACAATAACTATCATTAATCTAGTCAGTGGTGAAATCTCTACTCACTTTTCGTGGAAGCTTGACTATCCAAGATGGAGGAACAATGATGTCGGTATGGTTTCCCATTGTACACTGTTCTTCTAGCTTTTGCATATTAAAACACGATTCTTTGTTGTGATAAGCGGACTTACACCAGGAACAACCAATAGCAACGATCTCCTGAAACAAGCATAAGTTTTAACTGAACTGCTATTTGAATTTTATTACATAAAAAAAAAGAGAAGGTTGTTTCCAAAAAGTTAAAAATAGCTGATTTTTGTTTTATATACTATACGCTAACTGAAGCTTCTCAAAACTGGTTGTTTCTATAAAACGGAACTTATTTACCCGGATGTAAAATGTCGAAGTAGAAAGAGGATTAAGATAGGGTCAAACTGACCATTGTGCTGATAATAGAATTTTTACTCATTCAATTGTTGTTTTTTTCCTTATTGAAAAGATTCATAATGGGCTATCTGCGCTCTGTCCACCGCGGGGAATTGAATCCCGTATTTTAGCGTCGTAAGTTCAAAAACTTAACAATGACTCACTCGGGAGACTATTCACTCAGTACCATTGCTAAATTAGGTTGTCAGGATCTCACTAATTAACTTGATAAAAATACCTCGTCAGCAGAGACAATAAAATGTAATGAACATTTTTAGGTGGGGGTTTTTCTTGTTCGAAGCCTGCAATGGGTTAATTTTAAAGACATGTGAAAATGATTAGTAATCATATAGCAATGTTTATCATAACCTCTTACATAAAACTTTGCGAAGTTCAATGTTCATTATTATATAACTTAAAAATCAAACTAAGTTTGAAATGTTAACCACAATATATTTAGATAAATAAATATTATGGTAGCATTTTGAGCTTTACATACAATACGGTCGATAATCTATTTTATAATCATTTTTATTATTTTGAACACTGGTAAAATGGTAAAACTAGAAGTAACTTTAATCAAGAATAACAGTAATTTGATATAAACATCACTGGAGCCAATGCGAAAAAACTAAAACAAAAAATTTAGTTCGAGTTGAAAATTGAGCTAAATTAAACAATGAAAAAATATAAATCTTTAAATTGAGCAATTACGGGACTAAACATATAAACTTATTGGTTAAAATAAAAATATTTTTTTATGTATGTGAGAATACGATAGTTATTAAATTTGACTTTTAAATTAGTGTTCAAATCTATTTATTTACGAATAGGAAACTTGTTTACGATCTAATTAAACACTGTTGGAGGCTGTTTATTTGTTGTTAATACAAAGCAACGCAGTGGATTATATGAACTATGCTCATAATTGATATCGAAACCTAGTTTTTAGCGTTATAAGCTCTCAAACTTATTGCTGTACCACTAGACCAAAATTAAACCATAAACAAGCGTTTAAGAAGCTTTCTTTTTCAATAATGCAAAAATGATGTTCTCGTCAATAGCATATGAAAACTGGAAAAAGAGTAAGTCAATGAAAAATATCAATAAGTGAAATATAACATACTAGCGAAAGTACCCGGCTTAGCACGGGTTATTTGGTTGATATATTATTATATTAATATATTTTAGCAAATGCATAAAATTTATCATGAAAATAAAAATATCGATGCAATATTAAACGTAAATCGTTTCTGAAGTAAGGTATTTTCTGTTATATCACCAACGTTTTAAATAAAAAACAAGCTTGTTTAATCAAAGGAAACTCTAATTTAAGAAATCAACAATTTTAATTCCAGTTTTGTTGTCTATACATTTTATATTATACTTTCAGTACATAGACTAACAACAATATTAGGCTATACTTTTTGTTGCTAAGCAGCATGACATAAAAGTCATTGTTGGAATGCATCGTTACCACATCTATTCAATGTGGTTTTTCCATAGCTTCCGTCATAAAAAGATACGTACGCATGAAGATAAGATAAGTAATAATACCCAGGTTCACACCCTCAGGGTCCACTTAGTATGGATACAAAATTTCAGGGTTCTAGGTTCTTTCCTCTTGGAGCTATGGCGGTAACACACACAGACACGCCCTTTTATTATTGTATATATATATATATATATATATATATATAATATTTTTTGACAAGAATATACTAATGTGAAAACAGGATGTTCTGAGAATCCAACAGTAAATCTTCCTAAGCGATTTATTAAAATCTCAAATAAAATGCTAATAATGTTAGAAAAACATAGTGAGTAAACTTCGTTTACAAACTAATACAATAACATGAACTTCAAGTATTTCATTTAAAAGATTACACTGACATTTATAAATACATAAGTATAACAAGAAAAGGAAAGTGGTTACATAGATTAATTTTTACACACTTTTAGAAACTGTGGCCTAATTAAGAACATCACATTTCATTATGAACTGTGTTTTCTATGTTTCCGTAGGACATATTAAGCTTTTAATGTAACGTTAGTTTCAACCATTAATGTAAAGGTAAATTTATTTTAAGATTTGACATGGATACTAGTGTGATTTATGTTATGAGATGATAGCACTTTCCCTAATTTAATGAACACTTTACTAATACATTAAGCACCAGTACTCTGGTTTGGTTTTTGTTGAATTTTGCGCAAAGATACACGAGGGCTATCTGCGCTATCCGTCCCTAATTTAGCAGTGAAAGACTAAAGGGAAGGCAGCTAGTCATCATCACCCATCGCCAACTCTTGGGATACTCTTTTGTCAACGAATAGTGGGATTGACTGTCACATTATAATGGCCACACGACTGAAAGGGTGAGCCTGTTTGGTGGGACGGGGATTAGGACCTACGATCTTTGTGTTTCTTAGCGTGATTGGTTCACAGGATATGAAAAAATGCATCAAATACTGATTTATCCAAGTGTAAGCTAAAATTTCTTTCCCCCTTTAGTTTGATATTTTACTCAGAAACTTCAACTGAGATGTTTCTCAGTAACTTATTATGGGCGATTCGTTTGTTGAATTTCGCGCAATGTTACTTGAGATCTTTCGGCATTAGCCGACCTTATTTTAAAAATGATACACTAGAGGAATGGCAGACCGGCAACTTTTGGTCTAATTCTTGCCAACGAAGTGTAGGATTTACCGCCAGGTTATAACACCCCCACCGCTGAAAGGGCGAGCATGTACAGTGATGGAATTCGCGGCCCTGATAATATGAGTGGAGCATCCTAAACACCAGGCCATGCCAGGTTATGAGGTAGTACACGGCAACATAGTGTGAAATATTACTCAAATCCTAATTTGAAATATAATTCAACAACTTAGCGAGATACATTAATCAGCAACTTAGCTGAGTCATAGTTCAGGGATATCTTTCAATACACTCCTTCCGCAATATTTAATCTTAAACTAGTATTTCTTCAAAACGTGTATGCAATCCAGTTTATATAACTGTATTTCCAAAAATTATTCCTCTGTAGGGGTAAAAAGTGTATATTGAACATCACTGGAATTGTGATTTATATGCAAAATGCAATAGGTAAGAACATGAATCAGGCGTAAGTTGTTTTTGTCGAAATATGATATAAAAACGTCGTAATAACCATAACTCAACTCAGAAGATGTTGTTCTTATATTGCATTGTTCCATCTTATTGAAACTCATGATTTAGTGTGTTCTGCCTTAGCAATGTTTATTACATTATAATGTATCAGCTTTGGATGCTACGCTGATAGAAATGCTACAGCAAAACCCTCGTGTTTTGTAAATTCTCCGAAATAAATTCAGTGAAATAGATTTTACGGACCTGAAAAATGCTTCAATAACTACAAAATATGAAACAAAAAACTCTTTGCTTACCTTGTTGCCAAATGAAAGCTTGGACTGGAAAGCCTGGAAAATAAATAGAAATAGTAAAATAAAAATGGTTCAAGTAATAGGAATATATATATATGAAGTTGTTCTGTTTTGCAGACTTTTACAAATAAATACAGTGTTTGCCGCATGACGTTTACTGACCGGCACGGTGTGGCTTACAACTTTTTTCAAATAAACACAGCTTGAAATAGCAGACACATTGTGTCAGTCAGATACAATTATAAAATGAACTGCGTCTGACTGTCGCAATGTTCAGTGTGACTGTTCCGGGACTGAAGCAGTTTGATTACAGCTTTTATTTTATGACTGGCGCAGTTTGTGGTGTGCTTTCTTCTGGGACTGTCGAAGTTTGATTACAACTTCGTATCTGGCTGACGCAATTTGTAGCGTGATTTTCCCGACACTAGAGCAATTTGATTACATTTATTTTTCTGACTGACACAGTTTATAGCGTGATTTTTTTTTCCAGGACTGGAGCAGTTTGATTACAACGTTTTTCTGAGTGAAGCAATTGTGAGTAAGGTAATAGCCTAATTTTGCTATATATATATATATATATATGTTTATACAGCATATATACATGTATATTATGTATATAAAAGTGCATTTGAAATAAACCCTGGTAATCGTTTTTGCGAGAAGAAAATGAATAATAGTTACTATAATGTAAGTAAAAACTCGTAACACTATAGGCCAGAACTAAAAAGTTTATGAAGCCAATTCTACATTACAAAATGACTAGGTTTACAAAAAAAAGCTATAAATATATATTTATATATAAGAAAAATAAAATCTGTAATGATTAGATTGCACTGAATAACATCATTAGTTAGATACCATCCCAGTAGACAATCTAGAGGTACAATAATGATTCCAAGCTAGAAAGATGGAGTGACTCTATACACAGGACCCTACTATTAGCCAAATCTGAAATATTGCCGCACCTGTTCCAAATGCTGGAATGCCACTATTTTTATGACTCTGAACAGACCTAAAAACTCTTCCATCATACTAATACATCAGTTTTAATATCTGTTTTACAGCAAGAGAAATAAACTGTCAAAGTTGTGAAATTATTGTTCTTCATCTCCTCCTCGTTGAACAGATAAAATATTTGCTAAAGAAAAGCAAATGAGTACTAAACGAAATTGCACTAATATATATTAATTTGAACTAGGGAATGCTTCTGGTCTGAGAAATGTAGTGCACGAATTAATATGTTTTTATGTATGATTTTTGGTACAGGGAAATTTTGAAATGAGGAAATGGATAGTAGTCGAAGACGCTGCAACTTTGTAAATGGCTTCTCCAGATAGTTGGGGTTTGAATCCCACTTTGAGTGGAATTTTATTTTAATTAATTTTAAAATAACATACCATATTAAAATGAATTACATATTTTATAAATTAAGAGAAACGAGCATTCAAAAAGTGGTAAAAATATTGTTGTTTTTATCATTTTATTTCTTGCAGTATCAGAATCACAATATTTAAATAGACCATCATATGTAAAGAATAAATCTGGCCATTTTGTATAAAAATAATTAAACATTTTGAAATAACAATTGCAGTTTTGACAAACACTATTTATCTTTATGTACAAGGTATCTAGAGGCACGGCAATGAGCCCGGTCAAGGTATTACAAGAAATGCTGAAGCAACATTACTGGACTTTTTGAACGAATCGGAGGTATTACAACATAACTTACTACTTTTGTAATTCCAATGTTCTTAGGTTCTGTTGCGTTATGTTAAAAGCAGTAACTTCATAGATATTTTAGAAATGAACTGTCTAGAAGTGTTATGATTATTGTTGGTTTTGTTCTGCAGCTTTGTGGCCCTGGAGTCCATAACTTGCAAAAATCAAATATAATGATACATTTCCGTTAAATTCAAGTTTTGTTGGAAATGTTAATGAAAACTCAAGTTGTAAAATTTAATCAAATCATTTTACATGTACATAACCAGCCACTCTAAAATGAGTTAAATTATATAAAAGGGTAAACCTTGTTAAGATGTTGTATACAAATTGGACAAGTTAAAGACGAAAAAATGTGGAATACTTAGGCTCGGTTTTTTATTTCAACAAGAATAAGCAGCAACATAAATATAAAAAGAAGTCCAGAACTGACCACCAATTCTTGGGCTAATATTATCTGGTCAAATAAAGAAGTCCAGAACTTACCCACAACTATTGGGCTAATGTTCTCTGATCAAATAAAGAAGTCCAGAACTGACCATCAACTCTTGGGCTAATATTGATGATCAAATAAAGAAGTCTATAACTGACCACCAACTCTTAGACTAATATTGTCTGATCAAATAAAGGGAAGTCCAGAACTGACCACTAACTCTTGGGCTAATATTGTCTGATCAAATGGTTCGATTTAATCGTCACTCCTATAGTACACCCACGGCCTCAAAGAGCGGTGTGTGTTTCTAAGGAAACGGTTCGTGAAACAAGAATGTCTGAGCACACTAATCACTATGACAGGCAATGCCTAAAACTGATTGTTGTTTTTCTGTGAATGACTTTGTTAGAAATAATTGTATGACACTCTTGTCATTTCTAGGAATACATAGACAGCTGTCACAGTTCTAATCGATATTCTGACTAATATTATGGACTAAGTGTACAATAACATTTTTCGAGGCTTTATTTACGCAGTTTTCTGTAGAATAGCGGGGTATTTGGTATAAGTATTGTCTTTGTAAATGTAATTTCACATTTCTTTTATTTATCTGACGATGTTAAGTCGTTCTATATTATTTTTGTAGGTCTGGATTGTCAAGGTTTCTTATCTTGACGAAAATCCTTTTAGATTTGGTAAATGAGGGAAAGAAGGAACCTTAACGTAGAGAGTACCAGTCTTAAACAATTATGCATTAACGACACCTTACGACTGTATATTTTCTATAGTCAAAGTTCATTATCAGGGCTTGAGTAAATAACATCCAAATATTGATACTTGAATATTAATAATACTTTTTGGTTATCAATATATATAATTAATTTCAAATACTATTGAATTAAAGTTGAATAGGCTGTTATTTAAACAATTATCGTTTATCAGTATTGTAATTATACCTAAATATATTCATTATTGATTAAATATTAAGGAAATAACGAATTAAACTGACCACGTAACTCTTACTATCCCCAAATTGACCTGAAAGTTATTATGAAACCCATTTTCAGGCTACAAAATGTTTTTCCGCAACAAAGATCGTTTGCAGACTGCTTATTGTTCAGATCTCGTCTACTTATACACGTGCGGAAACTGTAAGGCCTCCTATGTTGGTGAAATCAAATGTCACCTTAAAGTACGAGCATGTGAACACGCGGACATATCTATAAAAACTGGAAGAAAGGTTACAAACCCTCCCAACTCCGCTATCTATCAGCACAATACAGAAACAGGACATCAGATGTCTCTCTCAAACTTTAAAATGATCTCAACAGCCTAAAATTATACTGAACTTCTTATAAAAGAAACATTATACATTAAAAACTCGTCTACCATCCCTAAATAATTCACAGTCTTCACTTGATTGAAACCTATTTTAATTTAACTATTTCATTTGTGCCACATGTTTATTTTCTTGTGCTATAATTTGTATTTTCAAGTTATTAACTTCTTATGTATATCATATTTCTGTTGTAATTACAAATATTGTTTGTTTCTTTTGTGCATCCAGATTACTGATGATGGAATCATGATGATTCCGAAACGTTTAATAAATGCTTCCTATTATCACGTTCGTGTTGTGCTTTATCATTAATTTAACGTGTTTCAATATTATATTGAATTTCCTGTGGCATGCCCAACACAAATAAAGAGACATTATCTATATTATGAAAGGCGGTCTTGGACGTAATTGTGTGTAGGTCCGAAGAACATATTCATCAAAAGCTGTAGGTGTGAACAAACACTACACTATATACATCAAAAGGTGTAGGTGTGAACAAAAATTACATTATATACATCAAAGGGTTTAGGTCCAAAACATATTACACTTTATGCATCAAAAGGTGTAGGTCTGAAGAACATATTGCAACTCAGTCATCAAAAGGTCTAAGTGTGAAAAAAATATTACATCATATACATCAAAAGATGTAGGCCCAAAGAAAATATTACACTTTATGCATCAACAGGTGTAGGTCCGAAAAACATATTACAATATATGCATCAATGGGTATAGGTCCGAATAACATATTACACTATACGCATCAAAAAGTGTAGGTCTGAAAACATATTGCAAAATATTCATCAAAAGTTGTAGGTCTGAAGAACATATTGCAACACAGTTATCAAAAGGTATAAGAGTAAAGAAAATATTACATCATATACATCAAAAGGAGTAGGTCTGAAGAGCATATTACACTATATGCATAAAAAGATGTAGGTTCTAATAGCATATTATACTGTATGTAATATTTGGACTACTAAAAATTCTGAATGACGTCATTTAAGTCTTGATAACAAATAAACTAATCGCGCAAACAACTAAACCTTTCTCCTCTTTTTTTTTGCGTTAATTTAAAAATATACACTACAAAACTCTCCCACCTTTCCACATTGTTTACAGCGGCCTTTCTGCTGTCGCCGATGAACCCAATGATGGTGAATCACAGTTTGCTAGAAATATATAACGGAATAAATCAACAGCAACCAACTTATAAAGGAGTATAGACTATATCTGCTCTGTCATGTCTATTCATTTTAACAGCTGAACAGAAAACACACACACACACATATATATATACATACATACATATACAATTTAAAAACAAAATATAAAAAAATAACAATTTATCTAATAAAAGTTTTAAGGGATGCAAAAAGAGCGTTTTTCTACGATAAACAACAAAAAATTACCTAGAACTCTTGAAATCGTTTTGTTTATTCACGATATTTCTCCCTGATGAAGTTGGAACGTTATTGTTACACGTATATTCAGCTTGAGTAGTACGATGTTAACAGTGGTTGATTCTGAATAATATTGACTACGACTGAAATTATAAGCATTGTCTAAACAAAGCATTATTTCTGAACAATAACGACTATGACTGAAATTATGAGCATTGTCTAAACAAAGCATTATTTCTGAACAATAACGACTACGACTGAAATTATAAGCATTGTCTAAACAAAGCATTATTTCTGAACAATAACGACTATGACTGAAATTATAAGCATTGTCTAAACAAAGCATTATTTCTGAACAATAACGACTATGACTGAAATTATGAGCATTGTCTAAACAAAGCATTATTTCTGAACAATAACGACTATGACTGAAATTATAAGCATTGTCTAAACAAAGCATTATTTCTGAACAATAACGACTATGACTGAAATTATAAGCATTGTCTAAACAAAGCATTATTTCTGAACAATAACGACTATGACTGAAATTATGAGCATTGTCTAAACAAAGCATTATTTCTGAACAATAACGACTATGACTGAAATTATGAGCATTGTCTAAACAAAGCATTATCACAATCAACCGTTATAGACGTAATTTCAAGAAGCTGTCATGTGAAATTTCTGGCATATATAATATCGCTACTCGAGTTCTTGGTCGTTTTCTTTCTTTCTTTTTACATTTTTCATAAGTACTGCCCCTTAGTGTTTTTTTGCAAGTATTAAAAAATAGAGAGAAAGCCCTTTCTCGTTGTTCAGTAATATTCCCATGAAAACTATGTTTTTTTTGTCGTACGAAAATTACACATTGAGGAAAAATAATTGTAATCGTGCAAGTTAAATTCCAGTCTAAATTTTGAAATATTTATATCAAAGCTATTCAATCTTTAAAAATGTATTTAGTTTTTACTATTTCCTAAATTATTAAATAACTTATAAGTTAATTTACAATACGTCACAGTTTTCAATACATACTTTGAAATGGAAATAATCTGAGGTTTTTTTTTTCGGGTATATACTAGAGAGCATTTATAACTGTTAAAATGCTTCAATTTTGAAGTATAAAAGAAAATATTAAAAAAGTTAAAAAGTATAGCCAGACGGATGACAAAAGTTATTTAGCTATTAAACACGTTTAATAAATTTATATCTTGTATATATATATATATATATATAGAGAGAGAGAGAGAGAGAGTGGCCCAAAAGTAGGTATACAGTTGCATATCTTGAATCTATTGAACAGATAACGGTTGGTAACTGAACTAATGACCAACGGAAGTGGCAGGCAGACTCCAGGATAGTGTGAACAGCGACGGGTTTCAATTTGAACACCTGCGAATTAACTTTTTCATAATTCCATGTCATGTGTAAAGTGCCGTTAAATAAATTATCAACCGTATATTTTAATTTTAATGCAATTACTTTAAATACATTATCAAGTATCAACTGTATACCTACCTTTGGACCACCCTGTATGTCTATGTATATGTATATCAAATAGAATCTGGAGGTGTATAGTCATTAAGTAAATAGGTCATAAAAGACTCTTCACGTTTGACGCATCCTCTATTTAATAAATGAGTCGAGGCTATTACCCAGATATATACCATAAGTTTGGCGAGTACGAAATTATTTCAAACGTCTTACCTCTCTGTACTGCCTTATTCCAACATCTTTAAACGTTGGCTTACAATAAAACTTCTGAAAAAAAAATCGGGAATATTTTAAAACAAACAGATAATAAAAATTAATTGTTAATTATATATTCAGCAGACGCTATGAAAAAGACTTTAATATGCTGACAAGTTATTACTCTAGACAATATTTATAAGATATATATATATATGCATAATTAATATTACTTATTGAATAATACCGCTAATTAAGTTAAAAAAATACAAATTTTACTTTTTTTAGTGGTATTACAACATATTATATCATCACAAACAAAAAAGGTTGATAAACCTTATACCACGTATTTACTGCTATCACAAATTTATAATATCTAAAAGTCAAAGAACAAAAGGTGTATTTCATCTCACTTTGAATTGTGTTTCTATATCAATAAGGAAAAAAGTTTTCCACTTTTTATTTCCGATTTTATCGCACCACAGCGTTTTTTTAGCTGATTTTCTTCTTTATTATATTATCATATTTACTCAAAGGTAAGAGTAACCTACCTTCTCAATTAATATACTTATACACCCAGTGTGAGCAGTTATTTTACAAGCAGGACACTTCATTCTGGGCCCTTGTTTCTATAATATATAAAAAAGGAAAACAACAATAAAAATTTATCATTTGAACGTTTAATTTAACTCTATAATATGGGATGAACATGTGATGCAACAATAATAAAGAATAAATAAAACACCAATGAAGAGCAACTTAAATGAAATATACGTTCATTAATATTTATCCAAAACATTATCACTCAGTCAAAACTGTTAACCACAATCAGACTCTTCTTTCATTCACACTGTTATTACAAATGACTATTAATCGCAAATACAGAATACTACTCACACTTTGTATGAGCTTATGGCGCACAACGACATGTCAAGCTCCTATATATTTGGTTCACAACGAATTCCCGATCATTCGAAAGTGTTCTGCTCCCAGGTTAGAATTATGACTAGTCAAACCCCGAAATCAACAAGTGTTTTAATTAAAAACACAGTCTAGAGTAGTATAAATACAGCAGTCCCATTTGTCCATCATGCCTTAAGATCTCATAATGCAGTCCTAATTGATTTCTTGATCTACTTAAATATGATCTTAGAAGTTAACGTCAACTTATTTAATAAATACGGTTAACCTTCTAGATTGTATGTTTCTACATACTGAGAGGAAAGTACTTTCCCGATAAAAATAAAATATCATTTTTCTTTAACAATTAAAAATAATATTCAGAAGTATAGTCCAAAACTGTAAAGAAACTGAGTATAATTTTCTTTATTGAATACTGTTTCTTAACTCTTTTTCCCTGTTATATCTATTGTTTATTATGCAACGATTCAGTCTTATGGCCACGTTTTTAGTTCAGAGGGAAACTATCTTCATTGTCTGATGTGGATCTCAGGTTTAAACGTTGCATAATGAAGAATGTTGTAAGAATGATAAAGTAGTTATGTGTGTGTGTGCGTAATAGTTATTTTATCTGGGAGAATACTCTATTACTGAAAATGAACCAGAAAAAAAATATCGATAAGAATTTCAATAGAGTTGTTTAAACATTTGTTTAACAACAAGCAAAAGCTTGGAATGGTCTATTCTTTCATTGGGGTGTGTGTCTG